CGCAATACTATCTGCCTACACTACTAGCTGCTGTGCGGCTGCTGGCGGGGCTCGGGAATGGGCCCCAGGACAGAGCGTGAACGTTCATCAAGGAATTTCAATATCCCCCGATCTAAACCGACAGGAGAGCGAGCTCGTGGCTCAATGGTTAGAGTGTGGAACTTTGATCCACTGAATGAGGAACTATCGGCAACAATGGACCAATCAGATCTGACGAGGAATGGCCTAGCCACGGTGCATCTTGAGAGTAGAAGCATTCCCCGCAGTCTACCAATGATTCTTGCTCCCAGGGCTTTGATCCTCGGTCGCCTGCAAACAACGCAATTTGATTGGATATGTTTCGCAAGACGAGTGTTTCATATGACCAGATCGGCGCCGAAACCGCTTAAACTCGATAACCGAGGCCCCATTGTACTATTTCAATAGCGGCAATTTTTACGAGTTAGTGTACAGATATGTATGATACACTAGCATGTTGATAATAGTGCTTTCAAAGGCCTATTGCCGTTAACAAATAAACTAAGAACTGAAAAACATCTATATTCCTACCGGACAGCGTTCAAACTGTATACTTTGAGTGTCAAAATTCGTCATATCGCAAAGCCGCTATAGTTGCTCGGCCGCGTCATTATAGTCCACGATGGCTTATTCGTCCGGCCCGAGAGCGCTTTTTTCATAGCTCGTCTGGACTGAAGGCCGTTCTGCTGTCCACAAAATGCAAACGTGCCTCCAGCTACGTTCCTACCGTCCCATAATTTTACCCCAGTGAGAATCATCAGTTCGTGTCTGAAGAAAATTTATTGACGAGACGGCCCCAAAAATCTCACCTTATTCAATTTAGTTCCGTTTTACGAAGGGGAAGATGGGCAGACACTTTTGAGCTCCCTATTTGTGACACAGGAGCTAAGATGTGCATCAGTACAGGAGAAAAAATTCACAAAAAAGGTCCTTTGCATAAGTACAGATGAAATGCGATCCGCCGTTTTGGTAGAAAAGAGTCAACATACACGTCTACTTACTTATTCCAAGTAGTATAATCGTATGTACTATTTTTACGCACCTTATCCCTTGAGTTTTACGCCCTGAAGGTTGCCTCTCTCCTGGTTGGTGCACCAATGGCTCTTGACTCTGGGTCTTCCGCGCGAAGCACACCAGATTGCCACTCGTCTGATTGGTCATCTGGGCGCCGTGGTTAGGCGGGATGCTGAGGTTAGGCATGAGGACGATCTGCTGCTCTTCCTGCCCAACTTGCGCTACCTCCGCGGCGAAGTTTTTGCGGCTGCCGTTGTGGTCGTGGTCGTGCGGTTGCTCTTCAAACTGGATGACTCTTTTGAGGTGAGTTCTCCCTTTTTCTGTCATGAGGGCTGCTTTTTCTCACCTGATCTCGGTCGGCAGACATGAGTATCGCACTCTGGGGCATCAGCATGCGACGCACTTTCGATATCTAATGATTCCATCCTCGGTACCCGGGGGGGGAGGCGAGTTGAAGGGACTGGGTCATAATTTTTTTATTTTGAAGGTTACGAGCATTAACCCTTGATATCCCTATTCATGTACAGTCCAACGTCCTAACCCACAGTGCCACGGGATCGCTGTTTTGCCGGTTTTCGATCGGAAAAAGTACGAATGGTAGACGGGCGCTCACAGGTCGATTACGGGACTGACTCGTTCCGATGTGCTTTGGGGTTTACTTTCGAGCACCGCCAGCAGCGGCTGTTGGGCGTGGTTGGCTACTGATGGCCAATAAGTCAAAAAGTGGTCATTCCAGTCTCTCTTGTGTTTGTCGGTTATGTTGACGCAGCTGGAAAGTTATTGCCAACTGACTGATGAAGCAATCTGCATTTTTTTCTGTCGATTTTCGATACCTTGACAACCGCAAATATGTTTTATAGAAAGCCTGATCAAAAATATTCCTTTCCATAGTCAGATTGTAAAAATAAATCTGTCTTAAAATGTTATGCTCGAGGAGGAGACATATGTGGTTTTTCCGTCTCTGAACAATTTTGAGCCCGAGTTGCCCAGTTCTTTTCATTTAGGGTCTACCTGCAAGCGGTATACTTTTCGAATTTGCGAAAAGCATACATGGCGTCAAGGTAGGCGTGAATTATGTTGTATATTTAATGATCCCAAAAATCTCATAAAAAAACTTTTTCACAACTGACATAGACTGCGAATTTTTTCGCAGTTGGGTCAAATAAATTAAGCAAATCTGCCAAACCCCCTAATAATTACTTCAGCCCAGTGGTCATTCTGGTGGATTCTAGATGATTGCTTGAAGAAATCCTGCTTGGACAGTCAACTTGCTGTTTCGTATTGGTGGATTCCATACAAGCGGTGAAGTTGGGCGGGTAAAATCGATCCAAGTGTGATTAAACTCACGATGCAAGGCGTGGCTTTTGTAGCTCAACTGGTAGAGTGTTGGCTGCTTAAAGGCCTTCCCTGCTATGCGGGTTCAAATCCCGCCGAATGCCGCAAGTTTATTCACAATTGGGTCTAATAAATTAAGCAAATCTGCCAAACCTCCTACTTAATTTACAGAAGACATGATTTGCTACCAAATGAGTGCAAGAAAGTTCAATTTTATATATGTTATGTTAGAAAATCTATTTGAATTTATAGGCTGGTCGAAAATCAGTTAAAAAATTCAATCGACATAAGTAATCGTTTTTTACCTAATGTGGTTCTTGCAAATGGTCACTCAAAAACCGGCCTTCTGATAACCCCGAAATATCTCTAGATTATACTGCACGATAATCAATACTCGTAACTCACTCAAGTAATCCTTTCTAATCGAAAATACATTTCCCAATTTTGGCTAGCATTCCAATAAGTTATAGGTAATACGCAGCCTTTTTAATTTTACGTAATTACCTACTCATTTCGTATTAGTAGGCATACGTAGTTCCACTCATTTTCATATGCGTCGGTTGTTTTAACACAATGGTTGAACATAGCCTAACTTCGGCAATTATAATTCCTGTAAGATATACCTCTAAGCTGATGTTATCTTCCATGGTATCGGTCACCGTCTTTTGAAAAATGAAATGCGTCTTGAGGCGGCTTTTTAACAGCTGAATGAAAGATCTCAGCCTCATCGCCGCAGTAGGCCACAAACCGTTTCAATACCTGACCTGTCCGAGAGTGGAATTACTAAAAAAAAAGAGTCTCATGACTTTACCTGTGTCCACTAGTAGCCCCTTGAACTTTTTTCCAAGAAACATATGACTTAGCGGGTCCGATGTTAGGAAATGAGTACTAGCCGCTTATGTATTTTCAGAGGTACCGTTCAAAGAGATGAAGCAAAGTATTTACACATTTACACATTTACCTTATCTGCGCATGACTCAGACTTGTTCACGATTACCTATGACTAAGGATTCCCGTCGGAATCCGAAAATCAGAACAATAAAACTCTTGTTCCAGTGATTGCTTCTTCTTCTTCTTCTTCTTCTTCTTCTT